GAAATAGAGCTGTCTCTGCGACCTGTCACACGTGTCAGAAATCGAATGACACCCTACATCCGAGAGTACCGCTATAGGGGTACTTGTGTAGCACGTATAGTACTAGTTTTTGTAACCCATAATTCAAACACAAGCATGAACTTTGCATGATTAGCACACCCAATACTATAACGGGTAATCCTATAAGTGTGAGATGATTGCCCTATCATTAGCACCCGTATAACAGTGGCATTGGAGTACAAAACAAATGTTGTACATTTCACCAAAGTGCTCTGCTCCCGCCTGCAGAGGAGAGAGTGAAAAACATACTACACGTCTACGAAAAAAGATGAATTTCAGGTGGGGGTCTGGAATATGTGTGGTGAGAGTCCCCTATAAAAATCAGCTCATTTGCTCAAAGAGAAGTGGGTGATTACAATTGAAACCTGATTGCAGGCAATTCTGCACAGAATTCTGCAGACTGCTGCACAGCAAGGCTTAAAACGCATATCAAACCTTGGGCAAATGAGATGAATTTCATGTGGGGGTCTGGAATATGTGTGGTGAGAGTCCCCTATAAAAATCAGCTCATTTGCTCAAGGCGAAGTGGGTGATTTCAATTGAAACCTGATTCCAGGCAATTCTGCACAGAATTCTGCAGACTGCTGCACAGCAAGGCTTAAAACACATATCAAACCTTGGGCAAATGAGATGAATTTCATGTGGGGGTCTGGAATAAGTGTGGTGAGAGTCCCCTATAAAAATCAGCTCATTTGCTCAAGGCGAAGTGGGTGATTACAATTGAAACCTGATTCCAGGCAATTCTGCACAGAATTCTGCAGACTGCTGCACAGCAAGGCTTACAACACATATCAAACCTTGGGCAAATGAGATGAATTTCATGTGGGGGTCTGGAATATGTGTGGTGAGAGTCCCCTATAAAAATCAGCTCATTTGCTCAAGGAGAAGTGGGTGATTTCAATTGAAACCTGATTCCAGGCAATTCTGCACAGAATTCTGCAGACTGCTGCACAGCAAGGCTTAAAACACATATCAAACCTTGGGCAAATGAGATGAATTTCATGTGGGGGTCTGGAATAAGTGTGGTGAGAGTCCCCTATAAAAATCAGCTCATTTGCTCAAGGCGAAGTGGGTGATTACAATTGAAACCTGATTCCAGGCAATTCTGCACAGAATTCTGCAGACTGCTGCACAGCAAGGCTCAAAACACATATCAAACCTTGGGCAAATGAGGTAAATTTCATTTGGGGGTCTGGAATATGTGTGGTGAGAGTCCCCTATAAAAATCAGCTCATTTGCTCAAGGAGAAGTGGGTGATTACTATTGAAACCTGATTCCAGGCAATTCTGCACAGAATTCTGCAGACTGCTGCACAGCAAGGCTTAAAACACATATCAAACCTTGGGCAAATGAGGTGAATTTCATGTGGGGGTCTGGAATATGTGTGTTGAGAGTCCCCTATAAAAATCAGCTCATTTGCTCAAGGCGAAGTGGGTGATTACAATTGAAACCTGATTCCAGGCAACCCTGCACAGAATTCTGCAGACTGCTGCACAGCAAGGCTTAAAAAACATATCAAACCTTGGGCAAATGAGATGAATTTCATGTGGGGGTCTGGAATATGTGTGTTGAGAGTCCCCTATAAAAATCAGCTCATTTGCTCAAGAAGAAGTGGGTGATTTCAATTGAAACCTAAGTCCAGGCAATTCTGCACAGAATTCTGCAGACTGCTGCACAGCAAGGCTTAAAACACATATCAAACCTTGGGCAAATGAGGTGAATTTCATGTGGGGGTCTGGAATATGTGTGGTGAGAGTCTCCTATAAAAATCAGCTCATTTGCTCAAGGAGAAGTGGGTGATTTCAATTGAAACCTAAGTCCAGGCATTTCTGTACACTAACTTCATTGCAAGAAAAAGTCCACCAAATCAGTTTGCATATAGCTGAAAATGTTCAGGGGGGCTGGAACAGGTGTCATAACACTAACAATGCTAAAAAAAATGGTCACCACATAACACATGTGTGTGATGCACAGAGAATGACTTTACATGTGCTATGAGCAATCGTAGTTGAGAGAAAAGTGACAAAATGGAACAAATTTGACAAAATAACAAACTCATGCCCGCTTGTTGAGGACATCAAGGAGATGCTGGAAATCCATATTTGTGTGCAAATGACCAACAAATGATGGAGTTATGAGCCAAACCATATAGAATTTCGACTTAGCCATTTTGACATTCTGCTTGTCAGAATTACACCAAAGTGTCAACAACAAAGTTTATATACAAATACTGTACAACAGTGGTTGCGACGTCGCTTTCGTGCGACCGTCGATAATCCAAACCGGTAGTGTAACCACTCTTGCGCCCATTTCGTTGCGCCATCAGGTGGTTTGGATTTTGTAAGATCCAACACCCTTTTGCGCCGAATCCGAGTCAAATCCGAGTAAAATCGTCTCGCCACGGGCAAAATGGAGTTTCGCCAAAAAAATTGAATCCCGGTCGAAGCAGAGGATCCGAGTGCTGCTTCCGCCTTTGGCCCGCCCTTCCCCCGTCAGGTGGTTTGGATTTCTAGGTTGCACATCCTGCAATCCATTCGCTCCACAGCGATCACTCGCGAGCATCGCTAAATTGGTAACTATCGCATTGAGTGACCAAACGCTGTCGGGCGGGAGAGTCGAGGTACCACAGCAGGGTTCTTGGTTGCCTCGACCAGATCTGATTAGTTGATCCACTTCGTACATATAGTTAATCCGTTATAGCATTATCATTCAGGGCCTAGAGTCATCATGGAGCCTCGCGCACACATTCACCGCCTCTCTGACGATCTTCTCATTCGAATCCTGTGGCACACCGCGAATCCGGGCACCCGCACAGTCGAAAGCGACGCTCTGTGGACCTCCCTGGGACCCAAGCCGAGGTACCTTCATCCCCACCGCGCACCTAGCCTCGATAACCGGCTATACCAGTAGCACTTCGCGCAAACGCATCACCCTCTCTCCGCAACCTCCGCGGGTTACCATCTCCTCGTCGCGTCGGTCTGCCGTCGCTGGAGGCGACTCGCGCAGCTCTCCGTCTCCACCCTTTCCCTCCGAGAAGACCTCGACGTTCCTCTCGAATTCCTCGCGACGGCTGTCGCTTGCTTCCCGAATCTGACCCGTCTGCATCTGTGCGACGCCAGCGTGACGACTATCAACGACGATCTCCTCGATCGCCTCGCGTCGTCATGCCCTAAGCTGACGTGGGAGATAGCATCACATTCAGAAACCACGGAATAAGCCAGGACAACCACCCAGTAACCGAATCCGGTCTGGATCGGCTATTCCAGGGTTGCACGAAGCTGAAGCAGCTTTCGCTCTTCTGCCTCCAGCCATTCATGAAACTACCAGCTTCTTCTTTCCGACTCCAGTACCTGCACTCCCTCACATTAACAACTCCGTCGATGCTCGAATCGCCTCATCTCGCAAGCCTTTCCTCTCTGACAGCTCTCCGAATCGCCTCGTATTATGTTAACTCGAAGCGATTGGCGGGTCTGCGTCGCCTTCCGAGCATCACCAGTCTTTCGATCTCAGATAGAATCGATATCCCTCCCCGCGATCAGCCCGCTGCTGCTCTCACCCTCTCACAACTGCCGCTGCTGACCTTGGAATCTTGCCTAACGATTTCGTCAGAAATACCGTGTAGCCGTCTCGAGCGGCTGCTGATTACCAACTCCAACCAGCTCGAGCAGCTTCCCGGAAACATCGCGGAGCTTCTCCCGTGCCTTCGCGAGCTGAGTATTAGCAGATGCAAAAACTTTTCACATCTGCCCGACAAGTTCACCTGTCTTAGCGCTTTGGAGAGCCTGACGATTTCTTCCTGTTCCTCGTTCTCGAGCCTACCTGCGAATTTTGGACGGCTGGCAGCACTCAAGACTTTGGTGCTGGAGTTTCTGCCACTCGAGAATCATTCTGACTCATCGCAGCAGCTGGTTCTTTCGAGTTCCTTGACAAGCTTGACGATTTTAATTTGCCGCAGTCTCTCCACCCTGCCCGAGAATTTCGGTCAGCTTCCTGCCCTCAGAACATTGGTTCTACAGAATCTCGCACTCACGAGCCTATCAGGTTCTTTCAGCCTACTCACATCCCTGGAGACCCTGTTCATACTCGACTACAAGGGGTTTCAGCAGCTGCCAGCAGGCTTCGGCAGCCTCACATCCCTCACCACTCTCTGCCTCGTGAGGTTGCAGCAGCTAATCCTTCCTAAAGACATTGGCGCGCTGCTGCAACTGCATACTCTTCTGCTGGACGGCAACTCTCAGAAACAGCCACTCCCACCCTCGTTCACCCAGCTGAAATCGCTAACCAGGCTTGAGCTGAATCAGTCCGAGATTGAGATCCTTCCGGAGAGCATGGGGAATCTCAGCAGCTTAAAGCAGCTCCACATTGCCTCATGCAATCGGTTACGCGACCTGCCCGCATCACTTTCAGCCCCGAAGTGTCTCCAAACCCTGACCGTTCGTTCGTGTCGATGGCTCTCCTGGCCTTCGATGCGTCTGGACCGACTCACGAGGCTCAAACACCTGGAGATTGTCGAATGCCTGTTGCAGCCTGAATCCGTCCAATTTCTGCTGTCGTTTCTTGAGCAGCTGAGTCTAGCGAGCAGGGACGACACTGCCCCTCTGCTGACAATCCCAATGCTGCCAAATCTGAGAAACCTGAAGCTGTCTCGGGTTCATATCGACCAAGCACTGGATTTCAGCAAGAGCCTGCCGCTTCTGAGGGATTTGGAGCTGGTGTTAGAAAACTCTGCAACCGAGCCTCCATTCCCGCTGACATGCCTTCCCCAGCTGCGCAACTTGGCGATCTATCATGCTGCCAAGATTTCCAGTCTTTCAGAGAGTATCGGCTCGAACTTACACCAGCTGAGGGTGCTGCTGATACACGATGCTCAGGAGTTGTCTGAGCTGCCAGAGAGCATCACGCGGCTTTAGCAGCTGACGTTGTTGGAGGTTCATGAGTGCATGCTCACTCACATTCCGGAGGGCATTGGCGCCTTGACCAGGCTGCGCAAGCTGAGTCTATCAGACTGCAAGGGGTTGAAACGGCTCCCTGCTTCTCTCACCTGCCTTGTGTGCCTGAATGAGGTGAATCTCTCGTCCTCCCTCATCACCTCGCTTCCTCCCCACTTTGTGCGGCTGGCTGGACTGAGGCGGCTTATCTTGGACGGGTGTTGGCGGTTGAGGGAGCTACCTTGGGATATGGCTGAGTTGAAGATGCTGCAGTATCTGGGTGTTGAGGGGTGCAGGCAGTTGCTGGATCGTGATGGCTATGTAGAGCCTCGTAGCATATATAAGAATAACTCAATGCTTCGAGTACGCCTCTAAGCCTCAATAATTGGCCATCATTGAGGGGGTTTGCTATGAAACCATATTGCTGTGGTGTGGTGGACTCAATTAGCACACTGGCATGCTGGTGCACATGGTGTCTGCTCATGTGTAGAGCCTTTGTGTGCTGTGCAGGGCCTCAGAAGTCAGCGAAATAAGGCCGATTTAGGTAAAAAAGGCTGAGATTTCAGTCCTTTTTTTTATAATCGAGGCTGAATTTCCAGCACTTTTTTGGAATGAAACATGAATTTAGTGTATAATGGCATAAAATGGCTAATCTGCCTGATTTTCAGCATAATTCTTTGTACCAACTCTGTTTTTTCAGCCTAGCCCACAACCAATCTGAGGCCCTGGTGCTGTGCATTGCAACACCTCTTTCTAATTGTACTCTGGAATTTCTTCTGCAATGACGGCTACATGCTTACTTGTCAAATGGAGGAAACACAAGGTTCTGCAAACAAACGCCAAATAAACTACAGTCTGTTGCAGACGATCAACAGGGATGGAGTCAGATGGCGGTTCCCAGTGGCTTAGCAGTGATATGCTTCTGGATGTTGGTGGGCATGATATCCAACTCCCAACAATATTTTTTACCCCGCCTGACAGGTCTCATTCGTACAAGGTCGAATGTAAAGCACCTTATTGAGCCGCATTCAAGCGAGTCTTGGGAAAGCCTTCCACCTGTTTGCGATGCAGGTCATTCCCTGACGCATCTTGTATGCGAACTGTTACAAACTCGCATATGTACGGTACCGACAAGCAACCACATCCTCACCTCACCGTTCTTGTTGCTGCCATCCATGTCCATGCTCGCACTGCCATTCTCATTCACACTATCTTAGCTCCTATCCCAGCTCTCAGTCGAAGGTAGACTAAGGGAGAGCTTTAGCGGATCGGACGTTTCCTCCTGCCTGATTTGCGTGTGCTGTCAACCGTCCGATCATGGGCTTCGATCCAGGTACGCAGTCTCAACGTGAGGCCTAATCTCCCAAGCTTCGGGATCGGATGTTCACGGATTAAGTCAATTACTTATGTTTCTAAGCACTCAGAGTGTTCTTAATATCGGAGTTGCACGCTTAGAGTCCGTACGTCGGTCGCGGCGTTCCTGGAATGTCTAGATGCTGCAGTCGAGTTCGGCCAATTTCCGCTTAGCAGACGAAATGCTTTTCCGGCCCGGAATGAATTAAGTATCCCTTTCGCCGCTCTGAAATCAGCCTATTTCTAGCCTCGTTCAGACACTCATAGGGCATTTTATCGTTTCCCAACACCGGCGTAGTTGAGGACATGCTTTCTCGGCCCGGAATGAATGACGGTTGCCTTTCCCCGACTCCCCCTCGGCCTCCATCCCCTCGTTCCTCCCCCCATCCCCTCGTCTCTCCCTCCATCCCCTCCCCCTCCAGCTCTATGCGCTCAGTTTCTTTCACACGCCTCTCTTTCATCGCTCTCCTCGTTTTTTTCCTCATTTCTCGCCTGTCCCTGTCTCGTCTCGATGGGGCCCCGGCAGATGAGGTGGAGCGCGAGGAGGAGGAGGAGGAAGAGGAGGGCGACGATGTGAACGGGGAGGACGACGATGAAGAGGAAGGTAGGGTTGCGCGGAGGAAGGTAGGCGGGCGAAGGAAGGTAGGCGCGCGGAGGAAGGTAGTTGCGCAGAGGAGGGTAGGCGCGCGGAGGAAGGTTGGCGCGCAGAGGAGGGTAGAGCGCGAAAGTAGGTGACGCGCGCGGAGGAAGGTTGGTCGAGAATCGGGAGGATGGCGAGAGGAGGAAGTTAGGGCGCGGACATGGGGCGAGGGAAGGGAAGGAGGGAGAGAGGAATGATAAAAGAGGGGAGGAGGGAGGTAGGCCAAAAGATATTAATATTTGGTTGGGCTATCTAGAGTAGTGACTTGTATTCGATTGGGCGAATTTAAAGCACGGCAACATAGGGGTGGTGAGGAGGCCCAGCGTGATTGGCTATCAGCGGGGTGGTGCGTCGGCTGCGCGGATTGGCAGCCATGTTGCCTGCCATTCCCTCTGATCGCGCCGACTGGCAGCCATGTTGCCTGCCATTCCCTCTGATCGCGCCGACTGGCAGCCATGTTGCCTGCTGCCCTGCCAGTCCCTCTGATCGCGTGTGCGCGAGTCCTTCTTTTCTTATCGCTCGTTGTGACTCTTTCGTAATCGCCGTGCGTGTGTGTGCGTCTTGTTTTCGGGTGAGGGGAGCAGAAGAGGGGCAGGACGAGTATGAGAAGGATGGATGGATGGTGGACGGTGATGAGGAGGAGGAGGAGGGCGGTGAAGGCGAGGAGGAGGAAGGGGGGGGCGAGGAGGGGCCGGGGAGTGACGAGGAGCGCAGGGAGAAGAAGAAGAAGAAGCGCCGGAAAAGGTGAGGAGGGGGATACAATACAAGGGGTGCCAGCACAAGGTGCTCTGCGGTTGAGTGTGGTGCTGCTGGTCTCCTTGCCACGTCCGCCCACTCTGGCCTGGCCTCTCTCCCCTCCCATCCCATGCCCCTTGCCCCCTCCCCCTATCCCCATGCCCGCTCCCCATCCGCCATCCCCCAATACCCCCATGTTCCATGGCCCGGCGAGCAGGGAGGAGGAGGAGGACGAGTTGGACGAGGACCACTATGCGCTGCTGCAGGAGAGCGGTGTGCTTTGAGGCGCCTCAAAGCTCAACCTCCCTCCCATTCGGCATCACCCAATCCCCATGCGTGTGCTGTGTCGCAGGGAGGAGGAGGAGGACGAGTTGGATGAGGACGACTATGCGCTGCTGCAGGAGAGCGGTGTGGGGGGCTTTCATCGCCCCGCCAAGGTGCGTCCATTGGGGCAAGCTTAAGAAACCGCGGCCATATGTTGTTTGTCCTGCTGTGAAACGGCATCTTATAGGGTAGCTGCAGTGACAATCTGAGCCTCGCCTCGCGTCATTAGTGTGTGTGTGTGGCTGTGTATGTGTGTAATGTCAACAGCTGCTTCAGATGACGGCGGAGCTCATGGGCGTCACGTCACGTCAGGAACAGTGCTGTTTTTCCCCGCTTATCTGGCTTGTCTCCTCCCCATGCATGCACACTGCACAGCACACACATGCCTTTGATCTGTGACTGTCGTGATCGGGCAACAAGTTCTGCTTTCCCTCCCCATGGGGGCGGAAGGGCAAGAAGGTGTGGAGGCTGATGATGAAGGCACGCACGGCCTCGCGACACATGGGAAGGGGAGGGGGTGCGAGGAGGAGGGGGGCTGCTTTCCCTTGCTCATTTGGTCTTTTATCCGTCCCCATGTCCTTTGGCGTGTGACTGCCCTGTGCCTTGTCTTGGCCTGTGTTTGCCTTACGTGGCTGGTATGTTATGTTATGTGGTGTGCGCTTTGGCAGAAGGATAAGAAGTTTCGGCGGCTGAAAAAGGCGAGGCACATGGGGGGGGACGAGGACGGGTTGCTGATGGACGATGAGGAGGACGAGGAGGGCGGCATGCGCGCGCAGCAGCGCGTGGAAAGGGAGATCTTTGGCGATGAGGGTGAGTGAGGGGAACGTCCAGGGATGGGGGTGGGTAGGTATGTGTCTTGCATATGATGTGAATGAGGGGTTGCTGATGGACGATGAGGAGGACGAGGAGGGCGGTATGCGCCCCCAGCAATGCGTGGAGAGGGAGATTTTTGGGGACGAGGGTGAGAGGGATATGGACAATGAGGGTGAGAGGGATATGGACAATGAGGGTGAGAGGGATATGGACAATGAGGGTGAGAGGGATATGGGCAATCAGGCTGAGAGGGATATGGACAATCAGGGTGAGAGGTTTCTGGGATGAGAGTGACTCTTTGTTCTGGGATGAGGTTGTGAAGGGTTGGGGGGTGAGGGGGGTAAGCAGCATGTGTTTTGAGTAGCAAGTGCCGTCACAGTTTGAAGAGCGTTAGCTCTCTTGACTCCTCACGTCCCCATCCCTGTCTTTTGGCTCCCTACAATCCCTCCCCTTCCTGCTGTTTTTTTCACTATGAATACCGTGCACTCCTCATCTTTGCCTCTTCCCCCTCTTGATGCGCCTCAAAAAAAAAAAAAAAAAAAAAAAAAAAAAAAAAAAAAAAAAATCTCCACGCTGCTGTTTCCCACTATAAATTCCTGTTCACTCCTCATCTTTGCCTCTTCTTCCTCCTCCCCACTATCCTTCCCACCTCCTCCCCCTTCTCCCCCCCCCCATCCCATCTCTTTTCTCTCGCTCCACCCCTCGGTCGCTCCTCCATTTCCTCCTGTTCTCCTTGTCTCCCCAGACGTGCCTGAAGATTTCCAGGAGAGGGAAGGCAGGGGCGAGGAGGAGGAGTTGGAGGAGGAGGACGGGGAGGAGGACGAGGAGGAAGAGGACGAGATGGCAGACTTCATCGTGGAAGGGGGTGTAGACGACACGGACGAGCACGGCCGGCGCCGCCGCAAGAAGAAGAAAAAGGGCACGCGCATGCCAGGTGTCACCTCTGAGGCGCTTCTCGAGGCGCAGGATATTTTCGGTGACGTGGCGGATCTTCTGGAGCGGCGGCGCGTGGAGCTGGAGAGGCAGAGGAGGGAGGGAGGGGAGGGGGGCGCGGGGGGGTACTATTATGAGGATGGGATGGGGGCGGAGGGTGGGGAGGAGTATGGGCGGGAGGGCGCGGGCGGGGCGTCGGCGCTGTCGAAGCAGTATGAGCCGAGCCTGCTGGAAGCTAAATACATGACGGAGCGGGATGAGGCCATTCGAGCCCGAGATGTTCCTGAGAGGCTGCAGGTGGGTGGTGAGGAGTGAAGGTGAGTGAGGGAGTGAGGGTGGTGTCGAGCAGTATGAGCCGAGCCTGCTGGAGGCCAAGTATATGACGGATCGGGATGAGGCCATTCAAGCCCGAGATGTGCCCGAGAGGCTGCAGGTGGGTGGGCGAGGGACGTTCCTGAGAGGCTGCAGGTGGGTGCTTGGAAGTGAGGGTGAGTGATGGTGCTGTTGAAGCAAGGCAGTATGAGCCGAGCTTGTTGGAGGCCAAGTATATGACTGAGCGGGCGGGATGAACCCATTCGAGCCAGAGACGTTCCTGAGAGGCTGCAGGTGGGTGGGGGGACGTGAGAGTTGAGATTGAGTTATGGGGGCTGGGGCCTGGGCTCTTACCCTTGACTCCCTCTCCCCCTTCCCCTTTCCCCCCCACCCTGCCTCTCCCCCCTTCCGGCTTTCCTTTTGGCAAACGTAGTCGCGCCTCTTGCACGGCATGTAGTTCTCTTCCTCTGTGGAGAATTGAGAGCTGGTATCGGGCATGGCAGGGCATGGCAGGGCATGGCAGGGCATGGCATGGGCTCCTCTTCCTCCTCTTCCTCTTCCTCTGGTGTCGGGCATGGCAGGGGCTCCTCCACCCCCCCGCCGCACCCCCCCTTTTCTCCTCCCCCACCCCCCTCCACTCCACTTGCACTGCACTCCCCCCTCTTGCACAGCATCCGTTGTGCTCGCTCGCTCATCACCGCACCTCCCCCTCCCCTTAACTCCCCCTGCCCACCTCACCTACCCCGAAGCTGATCCCAGAGAGCGAGGACCATCTACCCGAGGCCGAGTGGATCTACGAGCACGTGTCTGGCGCCCTGGCCCGTCTGGGGACCATCTACCCCGGCCACCTGCCACGCACCCATCAGTTCCCCTCTCTCATTGCCGCACCTCCCCTTCTCCTCCCTCCCCCCTTCTGCTTCCTTCCCCCCCCGTCTCCCGCTCCCCCACACTCCCCCTCCTCCCCCTCTCTCCCCTTCCCCCTCTCCCCGCTCCCCCTCCTTCTCCAACTCCCCTTGTCCACTTCACCTGCCCCAGCTGTTGGAGGAGGTGGTGGGTGTAATCCCTGAGAACGAGGACCATCTACCCGAGGCCGAGTGGATCTACGAGCGCGTGTTTGGCTCCTTAGCCCCCGACCACCTGCGGCGGGGGGAGTTCTCGTACGTCGCTGACGCTGAGAGGCGCGCTGCCACGTGCGCACGGGAGGACGTGGAGAAATGCCGGAGAGAGGCCGTGGCGGCGCGGGACGGTGCCATCGAGCAGATCGCGGCTGTGCTTGAAGAGCTGCACGATGCGAAAGTGGAGGTGCGGTGGAGGGGGGAGGAGAGGGGAGGGAAGAGAGTGGATGGGTGCGAGGTGCTGTGTGGGGAGGGGGCAGGGTGGGCGAATGCGAGGTGCAGTGTCACTGTGCTGAGTGGCTCTGGTCTGGATGTGACGGACTTCGTGAGGTTGCATTGCATCGGCTCAAGTGATGCGACTCATTCGACGCATCAGTCTGTACTGTTGTTGTCCATCCTGGTTTCCCGTTTCCCCAATCCGCTCCTCCACTCCTTTGCTTCCCCCTTCTTCGCATCCCATCTGTACTCGCTTTTAGTGCACCCATGGATCCTTGGCTCTCCCCTCATGCCCCTCCCTCCTGGCCCTCCCCTCCCTTTCTGGCCCTCCTCCCATACTCCCACCCTCCCTATGCCTCCCTCCCACCAGGTGCCGTAAATAGCGATGCACAAGAAGGCCATGTGCCCGGCTCTCGTGGAGACTTGCTGAGTCGACTTGAAATCTCATGTGCCACATCCTTCCTCTCATGCCCCCTCCCCTCCCCTCCCACCAGGTGCCGTACATAGCGATACACAAGAAGGCCATCTGCCCGGCTCTCGTGGAGCAAGACAAGCTCGACGGGGAGCCGCAGCTGCAGCCCTTCCAGGTGTGGTCCCTTGGATTTGCCGGGTATTTAGGTAGTTTTGACATCTATAACCTGGGCATGCAGCCCCACCTGCACTGCACTGCACTGCCCCCCCCTCGTGGAGCAAGACAAGCTTGACGGGGAGCCGCAGCTGCAGCCCTTCCAGGTACTGACCTGACCCCTGGATTGCACTTGCAGGATATCTGCATGTTAGTCTGTTCTGTAACATGTGATCTGGAGTAGCAGGCCCACCTGCATATGATCTGGACTGGAGTAGCAGGCCGCCCACCTGCATTGCACTTCTTCAGGACTCCTCCCCTTGCATGCTCGCTCGATCTCCCTCCCTACCTCTCTATTCCTTCGCATCCACAAACCCCCCATTCCACCCTCCCTATCAGCCTCCTCCCTCCTTCCTTCCTTCCTTCCTTCCTTCCTTCCTTCCTTCCTTCCTTCCTTCCTTCCTTCCTTCCTTCCTTCCTTCCTTCTTCCCCATTGGCCCCTCCCTTTTTCTCCCCACACAACCGACCCCTCCACCACCACCCCCCTTTCTCCCTCCTCCAACGCAGGCCCTGTAAATCATCCAGCAATGGGATAGCCGTGGGCTGGGGCTGCATGCGTAAACACCCCCATTTCTTACCCTCCCTCGCTATCCCCTCCCTGCGCCCACTCTCCGTTTACATTCTTCCCAACCAGGCTCTGTGGGCCATCCAGCAGTGGGATCGCCGCTGGCTGCTCCTGCAGCGCCGCAAGCGCTCACTGCGATCCGCCTACGAGCGGCCGCGAGTGGACGAGGATGAAGAAGCAGAGCGGCAGCTCGCCATGCAAGGGGTGCTCCACGCGCTCGACTGTGCGCTCTCGGAGCCCGCCGTAGAGGACGTGGACGCCAAGTTCAACCTGCAGTTTCCGCCGGAGGAGGCTGTGGCGGAGGAGGGCGGGCGGGGAGGGGCAGGGGTGCAGCAGAGGCGGCCTCGGAAGCGGTCCATGTACTCGGTGTGCCGGCGGGCTGGGTTGAAGGGTGTGGTGAAGCGCATTGGGCTGTCGGCGTTCCAACTGGGCGAGAATCTCATCTCCATGTACAAGGTGCGTGGGAGGATGGTGGGATGGGTGGGGTGTGAGAGGTGTGAGGGGTATTGGGATCCTCTCCTCAGATTGCCGCCTCCTGACGGCCTCATGGGCCGGCACAGTCAGGTTTCTTCAACCCGCCTCCCCACCTCCTTCTCTCACCACTCCACATCCAATACCCGTCGTGTGCATGTGTGCGTGTCTATGTGGCTGTATATGCGTGTGTGTGTGCATGTGTAATGGCAGCAACACGAGGTGGAGGACACGGCGCTATCACCGGAGGAGGTGGCAACGGAGTACATCTGTGCTGAATTCCCCTCGCCTGCTCTCGTGCTCAGAGGCGCCCGCCACATGGTGCGTGCGGGTTGGCTGGTCTTCTGGTGACCTTGCCTCGTACACTTTGCAAAAGGTTGCAGGATTTGAAGCGCAGGAAGCAAAGGGTATCCTCACGCTCTTGCATGCTGTATATTGCTGCCAGGCCGCATGCTGTATATTGCTGCCAGGCCGCATGCATCCTGTTGCCCTTGTGGTACACGACGGCGGAGTGCATGTTCAGCCATCGTTGATCCTGCAGTGTGGAAGGTGGAATGGAGGGTGTTTTGCTTTACATTCTACGCTGTGGTTTGTGGTCACCCCTTGTGTGGCTGTGAATCTGTGATGTGTGTCACACAGCTTGTACATCCGTGCTTGGCTGACACGATGTGGGACAGTGGGAGTGTGCGGAGGTGGAGATAAGCATCGAGCCAGCCAGGCCAGGCCAGGCCAGGGTGCTCGAGCACCTGAGGGAGATGGTGAGATGATGCTCAAAAGTGACTCCAATGTTTGCGTGCGCATGGCAGGCGGAGGTGGAGATAAGCATGGAGCCCAAGGTGCGGGAGCACGTGAGGGGGATGGTGTGATGATGTTATACAGTGACCCGAATGCTGTGTGTGTGTGCCTCCCTTGTTGCGTGTGTGCCTCCCTTGTTGCGTGTGTGCCAATGGCAGGCGGAGGTGGAGATAAGCATAGAGCCCAAGGTGCGCGAGCACGTGAGGGAGATCTTCAACAAGCGCGCCATCGTCTCCACCAACCCCACCCCGCGCGGCCGCCAGGTAACGCCCCTCCCTGGGTTTATGACCGCCAGGTAATGCCTTGGCGGCCGGGTAACGCCCCTCTGTGGATTTCTGGAAACCAAGCACCTCTCTGGATCCCTTGAGCTAACTACTCAATTATCGGCCCCAGGACCTGGGGTAACGCATGTCTTGATGGTATCCTCGAAGCTATTCCTGAATAGAATACCCATTATCTGTGCAGTTCGGGCAATGTTGCTGACTCCCACATTTACCCGGTGCCCATTTCCCCCTCGTGCCCTGCCCTCAGTCCCCTTGTGTCAGTCTAATCGTCCCTCTCTTTCCTTGTCCATCTGTTCTGTTAGAAGAGAGAGAATTGATACATTGAATAATGAGCCAAGAGGCTCTTTAGTACAAACAATGAGCAAGAGAGAGATGAGAGGGAAGCTTACCCTATTGGCCAATAAGTTGGCCAATGGGTGAGCTTGCTTGTGACCAAAGCAACCACAAATGTGTGTTGGTTGGGATTGGTTGAGCTAAGGACCAATCCCAACCAACCACAAAATGTGGTTGGAGGGTACACTAAGCAACCCCCCAATTTATAAATGTGCTACACTTCTAGCCTATGTATGTTGTATGAAATATAAAATTACAACACAACCCCCCAACATGCATAAGGCTATAAGGCTAGAATCAAGAGGCGGGAGGCGACTTAGGAGGAGTGAGGCCAAGAAGACGAAATAGGAAAGAGTGAGCGGCATGAGGAAGAGCTTTTGTGAAGATGTCGGCAAGGTTGGCCGCCGAGTCAACCTTGTCGAGGCGAAGGCGCCCCGCCTGAACAAGATCGCGAATGAAGAAATGACGGAGCTCAATGTGCTTGGAGCGCCCGTGAAACACAGCATCTTTGGTGAGGTGAATGGTACTAGCATTGTCACACCAAATTGTGGGACAGCGCTGGGGGGCACCAAGTTCCTCAAGAAAGAAGGTGAGCCAGCGGGCCTCTTGGGCAGCCATGGTGGCGGCATACAATTCTGCCTCGCAGGAGGAGAGGGCTGCAGCCGAGGAGCGGGTGGAGCGCCAGCTGATAAGGCCGCTGCCAAGAGAGAAGCCATAGCCCTGGGAGGAGCGACGATCTGGCCGGGAATCAGCCCAAGAGGAGTCACTGTAGCCGCTGAGAAGAGGTGGGGAGGGGCCGCCAAGGGTAAGGACATAGTCCTTGGTGCCACGAAGGTACCGGAGGACACGCTTGGCGGCCTGCCAGTGCTCTTCCGTATGCTTGCCTGCGCCAACAAAACGAGCGAGGACGCTGCTGGGGTAGGCAAGGTTAGGGCGAGTGGAGACCATGGCGTACATGAGGGAGCCGATGAGCTCGGGATAAGGATGGGAGGAGGCTGAGGGGGAGGTGGGTGGAGAGAGGTGGTGCCCGACTGAAAGAGGTGTATGTTGGGCGCCGCCGCGGGCCATGTCAAACCGCTCCAAGACCTGCTGCAAGTAATGACCCTGGGAGAGTGAAATGGTGCGGGCAGAGCGGTCACGGGTGATGGTCACACCCAGATAATGCTGAAGCTCTCCCAAGTCTTTGCACTTGAGACGGGTGCCCAACTCAGCCTTAACATGCTCCAACTCTCCAAGGTCTGCAGTGAGCGGAATCATGTCATCGACATACACAAGGATGTAAAATGGGGAGGGGGAGGTGCGGAGGAAGAGGCTGGCGTCAGAGCGGGAGGTGCAGAACCCAAGTTCAGCAAGGGTGGCGGCAAGTTTAGCACGCCACTCCCTTGGGGCCTGTCGGAGCCCATACACCGGTCGACGCAGCTGCCAGACAGAGTCTGCTGGGAAGGGGAGGTGAAAGCCGGCTGGACGCTCCATGTAGATAAGCTCGCGGAGGATGCCTTGTAGGAAGGCGTTAGAAACGTCCATCGAGTGGATCTCCATATTGAGGCGAGCGGTGAGGTCGAGCACGGCGCGAACAGTAGCAGGCTTGGCAGTAGGGGAGAAGGTATCGAAGAAGTCAAAACCATACCGCTGCGTGAACCCCTTGGCGCAGTAACGAGCCTTATAAACGGGCGGCTCCCCTGGCAGCTGCTTGACGCGAAACACCCACTTTCCTTTCACCACGTTCGTAGGGGCGGGAGGGCGAGGCACATCGACAAAAGAGGAGTTGCCGATAAAGGCCTCCAGCTCCTTGATGATGGCGGCGAGCCATAGCGGAGCGTCAGGGCACGCCATTTTCTCCTCGTACGTGGTAGGAACGAAAATGGAGGGAGCAGAGGAGAAGGCGAAGACAGGTGTGCCAGAGAGGTCGAACGTGATGGGTAGAAGCGAGGGGTCAAAAAGGTGGAGGTCAAGGAACTCTTCATGGGAGTCCTCAGAGAGGGAGGTGTGGAAGGCGCGGATGACTACTGGTGCCACTGCTGGTGCTGCTGGTGGAGGCGTTGCCGGTGCCGCTGCTGGTACTGCTGCTGGTGCCGCTGCTGGTGCCGCTGCTGGTGCCGCTGCTGGTGCCGTTGCTGGTGCCGCTGCTGGTACTGTTGCTGGTGCTGCTGCTGGTGCCGCTGCTGGTGCCGCTGCTGGTCCCGCTGCTGTTGCCGATGCCGCTCCCGCTGCTGCTGCCGCTGCTGGTCCTGCTGCTGCTGCGGTTGCTGGCGCTGCTGCTGCCGCTGCTGGTCCCGCTGCTGGTGCCGCTGCTGGAGAGGAGGTGGCTGAGGGGGCTGTTGCATGAGGGGCTTGATGCAAGACAGCCTGGAAGAAGTGACGAAGGAGGGGGGAGAGAGGGGGGAGGGTAGAGGTAGAGAGGGTAACGGGAGGCGGTGCACCAAGGATACCGTCACGTGACCTGGTGTGGGGTTACCGGGTGAGTATGGTGCGGGAAGGGGGAGGACGGATTGGTGGCGAGGGAGAGGAAGGGGGGGGGGGGAGGGGTACTAGGAGAGGAGTGAGCGGGGGAGACAAGAGAAGACAGAGGTTCCGGGTCAAAGATGTCACCAGAAGAGGGAGGGGCACCATGGGACTGGGACGGCGGAGAAGGGGGGGGTGGGAGGATGGGGGGAGGAGGGAGTAGTGGGGGAGGGGTGGTGTCAGACCAGACAAGGGGACGGGTGAGAGGGGGGAGTGGGTCAGTAGATGTGGGAGAGGAGTAGTAGGGAGTGGACTCGTCAAAGACCACATCCCGGCTGCGGATTAGACAACCGGATGGTGGGTGGAGGAAAAGGTAGTCGGGGGAGGAGGGATTATGACCAAGGAAGATGCAAGGAAGGGTACGAGGGGCAAGCTTTCCCATGGAACGGGAGCGGTCAGAGGGGTGAATGAGGACATGTGCCTTAGAGCCCCAGACACGAAGTGATGAGGCATCAGGCTTGTCCTTCGTCCACAGCTCACTGGGGGTGATGGAGGGGAGAAGGGGGTGAGGGTAAAGGTTAGTAAGGAGGGCGGCATGAAGGAGGGCGTAGCCCCAAAGAGAAGGGGGGCAGGAGGCGTGGACAAGCAGACACCGGGCTGTTTCGGTGATCTCTCGAACACGACTCTCAGCCACGCCGTTCTGCTGTGGGGAGTGAGGGAGGGTGTAAGTCTGAAGGATGCCACGAGACTGACAATAGGAGGAGACTTGGTTGTTAAGGAACTCACCACCTCCATCAGGGTGAAGGCGGCGAACAGGGCGCCCAAAATGGGTGTTTGCCCGCTCGAGCCAGGCGATGATCGCAGCCGGGGCATCCGCCTTCGTCCGAAGGAGAGAGACGGACGAGTACCGACTGTGATCATCAACAAGCACGAGAAGGTAGCGATGGCCCTGTCGAGTGGGAGAGGGATTAGGGCCCCATAGGTCCATGTGAACAAGATCAAGTGGCTGCGCAGCAGCGGAGGGGGACCTCCGGTGCGGCTGCTGCTTGAGCTTGCTCTGAACGCAGACGGTGCAGGGGGGGGCAGGGGATTTGGGGAGGGAAGGGAGGGAGGAGGGGAGACCGTGGAGGAGACCGGAGGAGACAGAGGAGCGCAGAGTAGCGAAGTTGGGGTGGCCTAGCCTGTGATGGAGGAGGATGGTGGGGTGGGAGAGGGAACGACAGGAACAGTCAGAGTCAGGAGGGCGGGGGGGGAGGGGTGGGTTAGTGGGAGGGAGGGGAGGGGGGGGGGGGGAAGGAAGGGGGGGGGAGGCAACTTGGAAGGTGAGGGGGCGGGGAATCCGAAGGGTGTACAGACGGGAGCGAGGACAATAGGGAATACGGGCGAGAAAACGACCTGTGGAGGTTTGGTATAGGTCACAATGGTTAGCACCACCTGGGATGAGAGTGGTGATCATGGCTTGTTGGAGGGACCTTTGGGAGAGGAGGTTAGTACGAAGGGAGGGAATGTGGAGACCGGTGACAGTACCTGAGGGAAAGAGAGGACAGGGAAGGGTGGAGGTGTTGTGACAAGGGATGGAAAAACTGCTATCAGCGCCGAGGAGGGAGGTTGGTGTGGGGAGAGGGTGCAGTGTACCAGCGTCGCGAAGGACAGTGTCAGTGGCTCCACTGTCCAGAACGAAGTCAATGGTGGAGGAAGGTGAGGCAGAGTACTGGAACGAAGTTTCATTAGCAGAAGAAGGGTACATGGGAGATGCAACAGATTCAGGTTGACCTAATAAACCAACAAAACCAGAGGAAAGGAAAGCGGTCACACTGCCACCTGCAGACGGCGCCGGGGACGCACCCGAGAGATGGGCTGCAGAGGCAGCACTCTTAGCAGTCCAGGTAGGAAAGGGCTGCTGCTGGGAAACCGGAGGAGGAGGGAGGAGGGGCAGTTGCGGCTGGAGGTCGAGCTGCTGCTGGAGATGTTGGAGCTGCTGCTGGAGCTGAGAGAGGAGAAGCTGCTGCCCATACTGCTGTGACCCCTGCTGCTGATTCCCAAGCTGCTGCTGCTGTTGCTGCTGCTGGTGCTGCTGCTGGGGAGGGGCGAGGGCCTGGTGGGCGTGGGTGGAGGAGGGAGGTTCATAAAGGGGAGAGGAACGGACCTCAAGGGGAGTGGGGCGAGGGTTGAGGGCGAACCAGCGAGGAGGGGTGCCGGTGTTGCCACGGGCAAACCACTCATCACTGAGTGCCTTGAAGCACGTCTCAGTGGCATGGGTGGTTTGGCCGCAGCGCTGTCCCTGAGTGGGACCGTAGCGAGGCAGGTACTGACAGGGAGGAAATGCAGCTGCCGTACCACGACCCGCACCACTGCTGCCAGCACCACCGCGACCTGCTGATCCCCCTCGTCCACCCCCACGCCCACCACCATGCCCACCCCCACGCCCACCGCCACGTCCACCCCGGGTGCTGCGCGACTGGGCTGCTGCGGCTGTGGAGGAAGAGTGGCGAAGGATCTCAGCTTCGGTGGTGATAATCCACTGAGCGACTTCGGCAGGGGTGTGGTGCTTGGAGATAAGCTGCATGTAAGCAAGCTTGTGAGCGTCGAAGGCAGGTGTGAGGCCCTCGAGGAGGTGGCAGCAGATGACGGTGTCCGGGTACACCACATCGAGTGTTGCAAGGCGCCGAGCAAGGTCTAAGACACGGCGAGTGAAAGCAGCTGCGCCAGAAGTGGAATCCATGGAGAGAGTTCCAAACTCCTTGATAAGGGCGTAAAGAGTGGCAACGTCCTGCCGATCGAAAAGGTCGACCAGCAGTCGCCACAGGTGGGAGGAGGAGGTAGGTGAGAGCTCGCGTTTGAGGGAGGAGGGGATGGTGGCGAGAAGAATGGCAAGCGCACGCCGATCAGCAACCCGCCAGGCAGTAATTTTCGTGGTGTAGTCTGCAAGTTCTGCAGTGTAGGTGTCCAGGTCCTCCTGGTACTTGTTGTAGCGGGCAGCGGCCTCGTCATAGATGCGCCTGTCGTCCTCATAACGCAATTGCAGGCGCAGGTGCTCTTGGAGATTGGTGCGGTAGGTGCGAATGGCGGTTTCCGAGCTCTGCGGGTCGTTGACATTCGGCGCGAAGGTGGGAGGATCACCGGGGGGAGAGGGCTCGGCGCCAGGGTGGGCGGGGGCAGGTCCAGTAGGAGCGGTGGGGGCCACGGGCTGAAGTCCACCGCTTTCCTGAAAAACAACCGAGCGAAGGTTGTAGCCGCTGACCACAACAGAGGAGAGGAGCACCTCAACGGAATGAGCATAAGAGTGCCAATTAGCAGCAGAGTTGTCAGGCAGCAACTCGAGTGCGTCAACAGTGGCAAGGTCGACGGAAGAATCGGACGACGATGCCATAGAGATGAGGGTGGGTAGAGGCTAGGGCAGGAGGAGGATGGTGCGAGGGCACCGTTGCCAATGCTGCTGCTGGCCCTGCTGCCCGTGCCGCTGCTGGTTCTGCAGCTGGTGCCGCTGCGGATGCTGCTGCGGGTAGGATGGGAGGAGGAAGGGAGGAGCGGAGGGTGGGGAAGGTGGAGGAGGAGGAGGGCGATGCTATGGGGGATGCAAGGGGGAAGGGTGCTGCTGGTGGTGCCGCTGCAGGTGCTGCTGCTGGTGCTGCTGCAGGTAGGATGGGAGGAGGAGGACGGTGGAGGAGGAGGGCGATGCTAAGCATGGGCATTTGACCCGACCCGGCCCGACCCGTCCCGTTGAGGGCGACCCGTTAGCTTAACGGGTCGGGTCGGGTCGGGTTAGCGGGTCGGGTTTGACTCTGTTTTGGTGACCCGACCCGCCCCGTGGGAACGGGTATTTGTGACCCGTTACCGGGTCGGTTACACCACGGGTCGGGTCGGGTCGGATCAAAATATGCTACATAGCAGAAGGGTCGGGTCGGAGCGCCAAACCCTAACCTGAAGATAATATGCAGTTTAAATAGTGCTAACATTGAAGAGTGAAGACTGTATGAGGCTCCCTAGCTGCAGCGCAGAAGTACTAGCCTTGATCTAGTCTAGCGACTAGATCAGAATGTCGAGGGAAAAAAAACCTAAAAAACCAACCAATGTTCAACCCCTACCCTAATCCGAAAACGGGTCGGGTAACCCTGTCATTTGACTGGGTACGCGACCCGGACGGGACGGGTCAACCCGACCCGGCGGGTCGCAAAAACCCGTCACTAAATCACAGTGACGGGTCACGGGTCGACCCGACCCGTCCGGGTTTTCCCGACCCGACCCGGGCGGGTCGGGTCGGGTTACCCGACCCGTCCGGGTCAAATGCCCATGCTTAGGCGATGCTATGGGGGAGGCAAGGGGGAAGGGTGCTGCTGGTGGTGCCGCTGCTGGTGCTGCTGCTGGTGCTGCTGCAGGTAGGATGGGAGGAGGAAGGGAGGAGCGGAGGGTGGGTTGGGTGGAGGAGGAGGAGGGCGATGCTATGGGGGAGGAAAGGGGGGAGGGTGCTGCTGGTGGTGCCGTTGAGGTGCCGCTGATGATGCTGCTGCGGGTACAATGGGAGGAGGAAGGGAGAGAGGGGGGGGAGGGGACGAAGAGGGCAGCCGTGCGGCAGATCCGCGCGACTGGGAAGCCCGTGGCGATTGCACGCGGGACAGCCCGCGGCAAACGAGCGGGACGTGCAGAGATGGGCGCGAAATGGTCAGATTTCAGCGCGGGAGATGCAGATCTGGTCGCGCGGAGTGCAGATCTGGTTGCGCGGAGTGCAGATCTGGTCGCGCGGAGTGCAGATCTGGTCGCGCGGGGTGCAGATCTGGTCGCGCGGGGTGCAGATCTGGTCGCGCGGAGTGCAGATCTGGTCGCGCGGAGTGCAGATCTGGTCGCGCGGAGTGCAGATCTGGTCGCGCGGAGTGCAGATCTGGTCGCGCGGAGTGCAGATCTGGTCGCGCGGAGTGCAGATCTGGTCGCGCGGAGTGCAGATCTGGTCGCGCGGAGTGCAGATCTGGGCGGAGGGCAGATCTGGGCGCGCGAAGTGCAGATGTGGTCGCGCGGAGTGCAGATCTGGTCGCGCGGAGTGCAGATCTGGTCGCGCGGAGTGCAGATCTGGTCGCGCGGAGTGCAGATCTGGTCGCGCGGAGTGCAGATCTGGTCGCGCGGAGTGCAGATCTGGTCGCGCGGAGTGCAGATCTGGTCGCGCGGAGGGCAGATCTGAGCGCGCGGAGGGCGGATCTGGGCGCGCGGAGTGCAGATCTGGGCGCGCGGAGTGCAGATCTGGGTGCGAAATGTTCAGATCTGGGCGCGGGAGGAGGAGATCTGGTGGCGCGGAATACAGATCTGGGCACGGAATGATCAGATCTAGGCGCGGGAGGAGTAGATCTGGTCGCAGGGAGTGCAGATCTGGGCGCTGGAGTTGCAGATCTGAGCGCGGGGAGTGCAGATCTGGGCGCTCGAGTTGCAGATCTGAGCGCGGGGAGTGCAGATCTGGGTGCTGGAGTTGCAGATCTGGACGTGCCTTGGAGGGCAGCGCCTTAGGGGGCGCACGGGGAGGGAGGACAGCGTCTAAAGGGCGCGTGAAGGGAGGGCAGCTCTGTGGGTGGGGCTAGATCTGAGGAACGGGGAGGAGAGGGTGGCCTAAGGACCGAGGGAGGTAGGCGTGAGCCATTAGCTCATGATACCATGTTAGAAGAGAGAGAATTGATGCATTGAATAATGAGCCAAGAGGCTCTTTAGTACAAACAATGAGCAAGAGAGAGATGAGAGGGAAGCTTACCCTATTGGCCAATAAGTTGGCCAATGGGTGAGCTTGCTTGTGACCCAAGCAACCACAAATGTGTGTTGGTTGGGATTGGTTGAGCTAAGGACCAATCCCAACCAACCACAAAATGTGGTTGGAGGGTACACTAAGCAACCCCCAAATTTATAAATGTGCTACACTTCTAGCTTATGTATGTTGTATGAAATATGTAATTACAACATGTTCCTCTGTCCATCATTCTCCTGTCTATCAAATCCTTCCAGTACTCAGTTCGACATCTCCTTGCTGCACTCTGCCCGCAGCACTTCCTCCTCTTCTGCTTGCCTTGCTCCTCGCCCATCGTTACCTGATCAACCTTTTGCAATTCAACCCCTACTCCCATCCTTCCCACCCGCCGTTCTCCATGCGCTGTAAACCTCTTGCACTCTTTCCGCCTCTCCTGCACCCTCTCTCCCGCCCTCCTCCGCTGCGTGCGCGCATGGCAGGTGATCGACACGTTCCACCGCTTCGCAGGCATCAAGCGGCTCAAGGACAAGCCGGTGGGCGAGTTCCCTTTAAGGCAGACACCTCACACGTCCCCTGTGTGCGTGTGCGTGTGGCTGCACGTGATTAACGCGTTCCTCTTGCCCTCCTCCCCCTCTGCGCGTGCGTGCATGGCAGGTGATAGACACGTTCCACCGCTTTGCGGGCATAGAGCGCCTCAAGGACAAGCCAGTGGGCGAGTTCCGCGACGACCAGTGGCTGCTGATCGCCAAGGCGGAGTCGCAGGGGCTCGTGAAGGTGGAGCTGGGCCTGCCGCCGGCTGTCGTGCAGGAGAACGTGATCCAGGTGGGTGCTGTGCAGGGGGTTAACAGCTTAATTGTCCCAGGGTTCAGGGTTTAAGCCGATCTGAACGATCTTTTTAAGGGTTTGGGATTTGGGGTGTAGGGCAGGGCTTGCGTGCTGGGTAGAGGGGGATGGTGGACAAGCCAAGCCGGTAGGCGAGTTCAGAGACGACCAGTGGCTGCTCATCGCCAAGGCGGAGGCGCATGGGCTCGTGCAGGTGGAGCTGGGCCTGCCGCCCGCTGTGGTGCAGGAAAATGTGATTCAGGTCCGTGCTGTGCAGGGTTGGGGGGTTTAGGGCTTGAATGTTCGAGGGTTCAAGGTATGAGCCGATCCAATCCAAGCGGTTTTCTAAGGGTTCCGGATTTTGGGTGTAGGGCAAGGCTTGTGGTTAGGGGTAGGGGGATGGAGGACATTCGGTGGGCGAGTTCCGCGACGACCAGTGGCTGCTGATCGCCAAGGCTGAATCGCAGGGGCTCGTGCAGGTGGAGCTGGGGCTGCCTCCCACTGTGGTACAGGAAAATGTTATCCATTTGAGTGCAGATGGGTGCAGGGGCTAATGGCTATCCTTCAACTCAAATGTTATCCATTTGCGTTTTTGGCTTGGTTTGGTTTGCAGTGTTGAAACTCTAGGTTTCAGAGCATAGGGTCTGAGCTCATTTAGCTGGCGTATTTCTCCGATGACGTCTATCAATTGGTCTCACTGTCATGCCAACCTCATCACCCGCACTTCCTTGTTTCTTCTCCATCCCTAATCCCCCCCACCCCGCCCCTCCCCTGTGTGTACTTTCAGGAGTTTGAAGCCGGCCTGCCTTTCCTACTGCTCCTCCCACTTCGCCTCGCTCATCTCATGCCCCCTCTTTTGTCGGAGTCAGAAGCACCAAGATCCATTAGGCTGCTCCCCTGCTCGCCCACCCCCCGCGCCCCCCCCCTTCCACCTGCTCCTCCTGTTGCCGCCCTCCCACCGCCGCCTCCTCGCCTGCTGGTGGTGTCGCTGCTGCTTCTGCGGTTGCTGTTGATGGTGGTGTTGCTGCACACACGACCCCCACTTCGCCTCGCTCATCTCATTCCCCTTCTTTTGCCCCATTTCCCCGCTTTCCCACGGGTGCTTCCCCCTTCCTGCTTCTCCGCCCTCTGCCCCCTCGCCCACCTCCTCGCAGGAGTTGGAGGCGGCCTACCTCTCGGATGGCATCTCCCACGTGGCCTCGCTCATCGCATGCCAACCCGCATTTGCCCACTTCCTGCACCCCGACTCTCCTCCGTTCCCTCAGGAGTTTGAAGCAGCCTACCTCTCAGACGGCGTCTCGCACTTCGCCTCGCTATGGAACGAGCAGCGCCGCACCATTCTCCGGGCGGCGATCGCCGCCCGCTTGCTGCCGACGATGCACAAGGAGACGCGCCTGCTGCTCACCGGCCGCGCCAAGGCATTCGTAGCCGAGCAGTGCGCTCTCGCCCTCTGGAAACACGTCTCCGTCGCCCCCTTTGACGTCCGGGCGAAGGGGGCGGGGGGGGGTGGGGGCGGAGGGATGGGCGGGGGCGGGGGAGGGGGCATGCGGGGCGGCGGGGGGAGGGGCGGGAGGCATGGGGGAGGGGAGGAGCACGGGGGAGGGGGGCAGCCGTGGCTGCGAGTGATGGCGTGCTGCTGGGGGCCTGGTAACCCCGCGACCACCTTTGCCATGCTGAACGCCGCAGGGGAGATGGTGGACTTTCTCCATACCGGCTTCCTCTGTGCTCGCACCGGCCAGCCTAAAGGGGACGCTGCAGCACTGGGGGGGGGCGCAGGGGGGGGCATGGGTGGAGCGGGGGGGGCGGGGGGAGGGGGAGGGGGAGGGGGCGAGCAGCAGGTGATGGTGATGAAGAAGCGGGAGGATGAGCGGCGGCTGATGGCGTTTGTGAAGGAGCACAAGCCGCATGTCGTGGTGGTGGGCGGGGCTAACCTTGCGTGTGAACGGCTGAAAGATGAGATCTGGGAGGTGCGTGAAAGAATGTGGGTTGTATAACATGTGCATGCTGGGATATGTGGGCATGTATGTGGGAGGATGAGCGGCGGCTGATGGCGTTTGTGAAGGAGCACAAGCCGCATGTCGTGGTGGTGGGCGGGGCCAACCTCACTTGTGGGCGGGGCCTACCTCACTTGTGGGCGGGGCCTACCTCACTTGCGAAAGGCTCAAAGACGAGATCTGGGAGGCAAGTGTGGTGGTGATTGGGCCGAATGGGATATGCACTGATGGGAGGTGCGTGGGCTGCTGGGCTGGGGGTTGGGGTTGGGGCGCGCGTGGGGGATGTGCGCATGTGGGTGCAACGATCAGGACAGACAGACAGTAAAGCTTGCTACTCTCAATGACACGGTAACTCTGTTTAGTTTCTAGCCCTCCTGCGCCGCTTGCTTCTCCCTCAACCCTTCCCCTCTGGCATTCCCTGTTGGCTCAGACATTCAGCTCCACTCGTCCTCCCATCGCATCCCTCCTTTCCTCCCTCCTCCCGCCCACCAGGTGATTTTCACAGCGTGGAGCACTGCCCTCACAACATCAGCCCTGCCTCTCACGGCTCGCTCACTTCACTTGCATGCCTCCTCCCTTGCGCCCCTCCTCCTCGCGCCCCGGCCCACCCCACCAGGTGATATTCAAGATCGTGGAGCACTTCCCTCGCGACCTCACATCTGATGTCGACAACGTCCGTGTGAGTGCTGCTGTTGAAATGGCATGATCTCACGTCCGTGTAAGTGCCTCCTTGCTGCTGTGACGTGTTCCCCCGTGCTCGTGCCTGTTGAAGTGGCTGATTAACTGTACAACTTCTGAAAACTGTCAGCTCATGGCAGCACCTGCATCCTCCTTCTCTCTCCTCTGCCTCCTGTGGCCCAAGTCGTGCCCACTGCCCACTGCCCACTGCCCACTGCCCACTGCCTGCCTCCACCCCCCACCTCGCCTTCATTTTGTTCTCGCTCTCCGACGACCCCTCACTGGCCGGCCGGCCACACCCTCACTACACTCATTCACCGGCTGCCCTGCATCTGTGCATGCAAGCTTACAGCCTCCTCGCTCCCTCTCTGGCCTCCCGAGGTGACTTTTGAGTCGACTCAAAAGTCACCTGGCTGGCCGACCACACCCTCACTGCACTCATTGACCGGCTGCCTTGCATCTGTGCTGGAAACTGTCAGCTCACGGCTGCCTTGCATCTGTGCATGTAAGCTCACAGCCTCCTCGCTCCCTCTCTGGCCTCCTGCACCCTCTCTTCCTCATGCACCAGGTGGTGTTTCAAGACGAGACACTCGCGCTGCTGTACGAGAATTCCGCCATCTCGCAGGAGCACCTGCCCTCGCAGCCAGGCAAGCACTCGCACCCTGTGCAGCTCAGGCAGGCATATGTCACGCCGTAACACTTGTGAGCATTCCCTCAATGTGGAAAGCTTTTTAGACGAGAGAGCCCTGGAAGGAAGGGGATGAGGCGAGGATGAAGGAGTTAGATGGAGTGGTGTGAGAAAGAGTGGGGAGGCAAGCAAGCCCCCTCCAGCCCACCCCTCCCATTCCCACCAGGCATAGTGCGACACACGGTGGTACATACATACATACACCCTTTTCCCAACCATGTCCCCGCTCTCCCCAACACCCACCCCCTCCCACCAGGCATAGTGCGGCGCACAGTAGGGCTCGAGCTTTACATGCAGAATGGGTTGGCTCTTGCAGCCTGCCTGTTTGGGCCACCAAGGTGGTCTCTGCCAAGTTCCACCACTCATTTTTCAGAATTCTCAAAAGTGATTTCGAGAATTCTCAAAAGTGATTTCGAGAATTCTCAAAAGTGATTTCGAGAATTCTCAAAAGTGATTTCGAGAATTCTCAAAAGTGATGTCAACATAACTATCTGCCAAGTTACACCGCTCTTCCACCCACTCTTTCCCCTTGGCCCCCCAGCAGGCATAGTGCGGCGCACGGTGGGACTCGGGCGCTACATGCAGAGCCGCCTGGCGCTGGCGGGAGGACAGTACATGCATGCACCCTTTTCCATCCCACGCCCCACCCTTTTTCAGGCATAGTGCGGCGCACGGTAGGGCTCGGGCGCTATATGCAGAACCGGCTGGCGCTGGCGGCGTGTCTGTTTGGGCCGGCGAGGGAGGTGCTATCTGCCAAGTTCCACCGCTCTCAGGACCTGCTGCCGCCTGATGACGTGTACGACGCACTTGAACGCGTCATGGTTACCGTCACCAACCAGGTGGGAACTGTGCGGTTACCAGCTAGTAAGGTTACCAGCTAAGGTTCACCCTTTGACCGCCGCAGTCACGTGCTGCCAGGTGGGTGTGCACACGCACATGCACAGGCGCAAGCAACTGTTGAGTTTTGAGGCGCCTCAAAAAGCAAGCAACTGTTGAGTCTGCTGAACAGTCATGCATAAATCACCCCCATGCACCCTCACCTGTTCCTTCCTCTCACTGTGCTGCCAGGTGGGAGTGGATGTGAACTATGCGGCACAGGAGGCGCAGGATTGGCTCTTTGCACCGCTGCAGTTCGTGTGCGGCCTCGGACCCAGAAAGGCCTCCACGCTTAAAGTGAGTCATGAGTCTCTTCGCCTCCCACCCTCGTCCGTGTCCGATGCGCCTTGTGCCCCGTTCGCTCTCCCTCACCGCACCTGCCGGCCTTTCCCCCTTGTCTCTCCTCCACTCCTCTCTTGCTCCCATTGTCTCGCATGCTCGATTCGATGTACTTCTCCTTATTGATCCCCCCCTCGCCTCTCTCCCCTTCACCACTCTCCCCCACACTTTCCTCACCACCCGATAAGGGTGCTCTTTGAAGGGGCATGCTACAGCGCCTCCCTTCGCCGTCCGCCCTTCCATGAAATCTGGTTCCAAAATCCTGCACTTTCTTCCTCACCTCACCCCTTGCCCTTATTACCTCCCCCATCAGGTGCGCATACTGGGGGAGGGCGTGGTGCGGCGCCGCAAGGACCTCATCGACCCGCCCTTCCTGCTCGACCAGGTTCGTCACCCGCCCTGCCCTTGCCCTGTGATATTCTTGTAAGTGCTCCTGCCCATGCCTTGGTGCGCCGCCCCCCAACTGCCCCTTCCCTCTGTTCTCGTCCCCCACCCCTTTCCTGTGCATGCTGTCCCCTTCTCACGCTTGTCCCCCTCTTTTCACTCGTCACGTATCCCCAACTGTCCCTCCCGCAGGTGGTCTGCTGCATTCATCCGCGTCAGAAAGCAAGACGATGTGCGCCCTGATTTCCCTAATCATTCCTTAGACACCTGTTCTCTCCCTCCGTTCCAGGTTGTCTCAGTCGAGTGAGAGGCCAGGACAGCATGCTAGATGATTCACGAAACGAATCCACCCAGCAGACTACCGCCTGGCGCTCGGCGCCACTGGTGGCCACTGATGGCTACGGCGAGGCACACCGAGGCATGACTTGATTCAGCCTTGGAACCCTGTTGCCCCCCTCTCGTCTGCAGGTTGTGTTTTTAAGCGCAGCGGCGTTCATTTGAGTGAGAGGGCAGGACGACGTGCGAGAGTAAGGCAGAGATCATTTCTATTTTTTCTTCCTCCCACCCTCCTCTCTGCCCCGGTTTCTCCCCCCCAAACCTCCCCGCAGGTTGTGTTCATCAATGCAGCAGCATTAATTAGAGTGAGAGGGCAAGATGACATGTTGGATGACTCCCGGATCCACCCGGCGCTCAAGGTGGCCACTGATGGGTACTGCGAGGCACACCGCAGCATGACTGGTTCACCCTTGGATTCCTGTTGCTTCCCTCTCTTCCTCAGGTCGTGTTCATCAACGCAGCAGCATTCATCCGGGTGAGAGGGCAAGATGACATGCTGGATGATTCACGAATTCACCCGGCAGACTACCGTCTGGCGCTCAAAGTGGCAACAGACGGCTACTGCGAGGCCCACCGCGGCATGACGCCGCACAGCGTGGAGGAGCGCGGCATAGATGTGGTCCTCGAGGCTCGGGACAACCCGGACCTGATCCGCAGGCTCGATTTCGAGGACTACGCGGTGATGCTGGCTCGGAAGGGGCAGGGCGGGCTGAAGGAGAAGCTGCTGCTGATTCGCCGCGAGCTCATGCACGGATTTGCTGAGTGCCGGGTTCAGTTTGAGTCGCTGAATGCGGACGAGCAGTTCTGGCTGCTGAGTGGGGAGACGGAGGAGAGTCTTGCGGTGGGGAAGGTGGTGACTGCGACGGTGAAGCGCGTGCTGAAGTTCAAGGTGTTGTGTGCGTTGGAGAGCGGTGTGCTGGGCGAGGTGGACCGGAGGGATTTCAGTGACGACCCGAATGTGGAGCTGAGGGATGTGGTGAGCGAGGGGCAGCCGCTCACATGCCGCATCAAGGAAGTGAAGACAGAGGAAGCTAAGGTGAGATGGGAGGATTTACTGGGCGCCGCACAATTGTTTCTTGTGTCTCAAAGACCAACCGGACTTCAGTGACAATTCGAATGTGGAGTTGAGGGATGTGGTGAGCGAGGGGCAGCCGCTGACCTGCCGCATCAAGGAAGTCAAAACGGAGGAGGCTAAGGTGTGTGTGAGGGGAAGAAAAAGGGTGAGGAAAGAGGGGGGATGTGTGTGAGAGTTGGAAGGGTTCAATGTGTGTGTGGGCTTGGGGGTTTCTCATGACTGCCGCGTCCCTGCTTGGTTTTCTCTTCCACTTGCCTCTTTATCAACTGCTTCCCCCCAGCCTCGCGTTGCATTTGTCCCTCTCCCCATTCCACTCCTCCCGTCTCCCATCTCCCACCTCCCATTACTACCACCTCCCATCATCTTCCACCTCCCACCCGCCCCCTACCACAAGCGCAGGTGATCCTAACATGCAAGGGCAGCGATCTGAGGAGCAGCGAGTGGAGGGAGATGCGGCAGTGGGACCCGTACTACCAGCGCGCTGCCGTGGAGCAGGAGGAGCAGGCGGCAACGGAGGAGAGGAAGCGCAAGGAGGAGGAGAAGCGCAAAACAGCCTTCCGCCCCCGCATGATCACCTACCCGCTCTTCCACAATGTGTCGCTGGAAGGCGCTAAGAAGGTGCGCCATGGTTTTAATCATGCTTTTGAGTCGACTCAAGAGCACAGCCTGGGCCAGGGCCCACCCCCTCCATCCCAGCCCAGCCCGAACCAGCCTTCGTTGGCAAGCCAACCGGGGAGCGGCCAGGTTCGGTCCAGCCTCGTCAGAATGCCGACCCTCAGCCCTGCCAGGCACCATGAAGCTGCCAGACGGACACTGCCCTCACGCACACGTTCTTCCCCCACTGTATGCCTTTTCCCCCGTGCATTTTCCTCATGTCAACACTTCAGGTCCTGGCGGACAGTGTGCTGCTGGGCAGTGTGGTGATTCGGCCCGGCAGTTGCGGCCCCACGCATCTGAGCATCACCATGAAGCTGCTGAATTGGGTGTTCATGCGCTCGGTCCTCCCCTTGTGTATCAATCTCACACATGCCAACACACACCACCACCACAGGTCCTGGCAGACAAGGACGTGGGCAGTGTGGTGATTCGTCCCAGCAGCCGCGGCCCCACGCATCTCAGCATCACCATGAAGCTACCGGGCGGGGCCTTCACACACGTGGATGTGCACGAGGGCGGCAAGGACCGCACCAGCGCCACCAGCTTCCTGCGCCTCGGCCGCACTCTCACCATTGGGGACGAGAGCTACGAAGACTTGGATGAGGTGAGCCGCGGTGAAGGGTGGAGGCTGGATGGGTAAAGAGACGTTCATGCCCCTGCCTCTCCTCAGCTGCACCCTCTCTCATCTTTGCATCGTTTCTATTTCTCATCACTTACTCCTCCCTGCCTGACCACCTCTCCCTCTCATACGTCCCCTCTCTCTTCACCCCTTCTCACTCTTCTCAACCCCTCGCTCCACCCCTCCGCACCAGGTGATGGCGCGGTACATCGAGCCGCTAGCAGCTTGGTGCGGGACATGGCGGCAAGTTCCGCCTCGGCTCCAAAGGCGACATGGACGCTCCTCACCACCCCTTTTCACCCCACTCCACCGCTCCCCACCCCTCTCCACCAGGTGATGGCACGGTACATTGAGCCCTTGGCAGCGCGCATGCGGGACATGGCGGCATACCGCAAGTTCCGCCTCGGATCCAAAGGCGACATGGACGCTCTAGTGCGCACCGACAAGGAGCGCGAGCCTGCCCGCATCCCCTACTACCTCTCCCTCTCGCATGACCACCCTGGCGCCTTCATGCTCACTTATATCCGCTCTGCTTCTGTCTCCGGCCGCCCCGTGCACGAGTATATCACGGTTTCCCCTGAAGGGTTTCGGTTCCGGAAGCACACGTTCCCAACGCCGGACCGACTGGTGAAGTATTTCCAGGCGCATTTTAATGATCCGGTGGAGGGTGGCGATGGGGGTGCGGGCGGGGGTGGTGGGAAAAGAGAGACGCCGCGCCGAGGAGCTTCTGGTGGTGGTGGTGGTGGTGGTTTGGCATTGCCCCCGCCACCCCCGATACCGGCAGGGGGGAGGGGTGGTCGGTGGGACCAGGCTGGGTCGGGTGGTTGGGGGGCTGTGGGGGGAGGAGGTGGGGAGAAGCTTGGATGGGGAGGAGGGGCGTGGAGTGCGGGAGGTGGGGGGGAGCAGGGAGGGGGGCAAGTGTGGCAATCTGGGGATGGTGGTGGGAGTGGGTGGCAGAATGCAGGTGGTTGGGGTGGCGAGGGAGGGGGAGGAGGGGGATGGGGAGCTGGGAGTGGTGGTGGTGGGTCGGGAGGAGGGTGGGGAGCTGGAGGGGCTGAAAGGGGGGGTGGCGCAAGAACTCCACTCAGAGGCTGATGATGTGGAAGGAAGTACAGATCTAACAAAGTATCGTACTGTCAATAACAAGGTGGATGTGGTCATTATTTCTACGCTTGTTTGCAAGTCATAAATCACATTCTGCTCTGTTACCTAATTGATGTTTGCATCTGGTTTCCACATTTACGAAATTCTAATCGTAGCAGTTCGTATATCGCGTATCGTTGTGCCCCACCTCTTTCTGTTCCTACGTATGGTGAGACGTGGCATCATTATTCCACGCACCTTGACTTCGCGCCGCAACGCTCTGGCCATTTTGCCGACGTGGAGGATACTCTGAGCGCCACGGTGTACCCAGAATGCTTCAAACACAAATTTCCATGCCGAGGTGGGCAATAGCCCACGTCTAAGCTCCTCATCTTGTAACGCTGTAACAGACAGCGTGGCGATACTGTGCCAGCGTTGACACCTCGCTTGGCCACGCGAATTCTATCCACTGACCTTTGGGATTGCAGCCCGCCACATTGCAATCGCGCATCGCTCCAACATTCCTCCCCCTGACATGCTCACCACAACACCAGCGTTGCTGCAACCACTCGAGATTCCCTTGTCTCCCAAACCCTCCATTGTTGCTCGTTACTTTCCGCTGGTGTAATCGCTCTCCCAGCGATTTCAGTCAGGGCCGCGTTCCTAGAAGCCCTTATCACAGCGCTCCCTAAGCGAAGCTTATTTCGTCGCCAACAGCGAAACATGGCGTCGTCACTCGCCAGCTGTCCTCTAAAGGTCGCCAGCAGCGTCGCAGCACCCGTCGCAGGCGACAGGTCCGCCACGGTCGCATCGAGCAATGCGGCTGTTGCGATGCCGTTCGTGGGCCTCAAGGCGGGCAAGGACCTTCCCGGCGCTGCCAAGGCCTCTCAGGCGAAGAAGTCTGCTGACCGCAAGATGCGGACCGTGTCGCGATCAGTCGCCGCTGGACGCTCCCCCGTGATCTGCATGGCCGAGGGAGGTGCGTGCGGGCTCGGCTTGAGACTCTGATTGGCTGAAAGGATGTGCGTCCCGTGCTCGAACTTTGCGAATAGGATACCATTCGAGTCATACTAGTCCGCCACGTGGCTCGTCCCGGGGGCTTCGGCAACCCCGTGAATCGCGTAAGGTCGTAGGCGACGACCATGTCACATGCTGGATCAATGCTTTGCAGACCATAAAATTGAGGCGCACGATTTCTAGGCGTTAACAGTCGTGGACCTACGTCAGATGCAATGTGCGAACGCGCAACGCCATATGAGGACTGGTGCAGGCCCGCAGGTACTGCAGGAGGACTACCGCAACATCGACATCATGGCGCACTTCGACGCGTCATAAGCAGCCTCATTACTCTGAACGATTCGCTTCTTGTACACTGTTGCGTGTGCGTCCTGCAGGTGGGGAGGTGCCGCTGGAGGACTAACGCAACATCGGCATCATGGTGCATGTCGACGCGTTATAATGTGCCTCATTATCCGCAAAGTCGTACCATGTACAATGTCATATATGTGCCTCGCGCAGGCCGACAGGTGCCGCTGGAGGACTACCGCAACATCGGCATCATGGCGCACATCGATGCGGGCAAGACGACGACGACGGAGCGCGTGCTGTTCTACACAGGCAAGAACTACAAGATCGGCGAGGTGCACGAGGGCACCGCCACCATGGACTGGATGGAGCAGGTGAGACTCGACGCCTAAACAGGGTCTCTTCACGCGTTTGTTACGGAAGGACGGGGTTATGGGCACCGCCACCGTGGACTGGATGGAGCAGGTGAGCTTCTGCACTGGATTCGGCTGCGACTACGGCTGTGGAATACGAAACAACACCTTGATTAGTTTCCCGAACCACGTGCGACCACCGCCTCTGGACCCACTCTTTCTCGAATCGACTCGTGGTGTTCCAACACATGACTGGACTCTGTCACACCCGAATATTCATGGCTCCGATTCTTTTCTCGACTCGAAATGTCTTCTCGTGGGTTTTCAAGACATAAAGAGACTGCGTCACACCTCTCATGCCCATGGCTCCGCCTGACCGTGCACTCCGCGCCTCACTCCTTCCCACTCCCCCCCTCTTTCTCCCGATCCTCCCCCCTCCCCTCCCCACCCCCCCCCCCCCCCCTCCCCTCCCCCCTCCCTTCCTGCCTCGCCCCGCCCCGCCCCGCTCGCAGGAGCAAGAGCGCGGCATCACGATCACATCGGCGGCGACGACGTGCATGTGGAACAACCACCGCATCAACATCATCGACACGCCCGGCCACGTCGACTTCACGCTCGAGGTGGAGCGCGCTCTGCGCGTGCTCGACGGCGCCATCTGCCTCTTCGACTCCGTCGCCGGCGTCGAGCCCCAATCCGAGGTACGACCTGCTCCAGATACGACCTGCCCCAGATATGACCCGCCCGGGGGGCTCATGTGTGCACATCCCGAATCTGCCCTGCCCGATACGCTCTTTGCCCAAGGTACGTCAGGTTCGCCCTGCCTCGGGTGCACTGTCCGTTCGCACGTTCAACCTCTCTGTTCACATTCCCTCTCTCCCCCCCGTGCCCCACCCGCCCCTTCTCCCCCCCGCCTCTTCTCCTTCCGCCTCTCTCCCCCCCCCGCCTCTTCCTCCCCCCCCAATTCCCCCCGCCTCTTCCTCCCCCCCCAATTCCCCCCGCCTCTTCCTCCCCCCCCTATTCCCCCCGCCTCTTCCTCTCCCCTCAATTCCCCCCGCCTCTTCCTCCCCCCCCAATTCCCCCCGCCTCTTCCTCCCCCCCCAATTCCCCCCGCCTCTTCCTCCCCCCTCCAATTCCCCCCGCCTCTTCCTCCCCCCCAATTCCCCCCGCCTCTTCCTCCCCCCAGACGGTGTGGCGGCAAGCGGACAAGTACGGAGTGCCGCGGATCTGCTTCGTGAACAAGATGGACCGGCTGGGCGCCAACTTCTACCGCACGCGCGACATGATCGTGAGCAACCTGGGCGCCAACCCGCTCGTGCTGCAGCTGCCCATCGGCGCGGAGGACGCGTTCCAGGGCGTCGTGGACCTCGTGCGCATGAAGGCCATCGTGTGGACCGGCGAGGAGCTCGGCGCCGCGTTCGAGTACCGCGACATTCCCGAGGACCTGCAGGACAAGGCCGCCGAGTACCGCGCGCAGCTCGTCGAGTCGGTCGTTGAGCTGGTGAGTGAAGGGGAGGGATTATTTGGTGGAGGTGGTGGGCAGAGGGTTGTGCGCGTAAGGTGGTGGGTGAAGGGTGGTGAGGGGAGGTCGAGAATTCAGGGAGCGAAAGATTTTTAATCAACTACTCTAATCAATCGTCGTGGTCTGCCCCTCTAACCCGTCCCCCGGCTGCCCTATTACTCACCACCTCGTTTGCCTTCCGGATCCGCCTTTGCAACCGCCCTTCGTGCTCCACCCGCCCACACACACTCCTCTCGCTCTCCCCTCTGGAAGACGACGATGCGATGAGGCATTTCTGGAGGGCGAGGAGTCGAACGAAGCCTCTCTGAAGCGCCTTAAATACCCCCTTCCCCTTTCACCCTCCTTCACCCTCGTCGTTCCCCCTCGTTCCCCGACCACAGGACGACGACGCGATGGAGGCGTATCTGGAGGGCGAGGAGCCGGACGAAGCCACTCTCAAGCGCCTCATCCGCAAGGGCACGATCGCGTCGGCGTTCGTCCCGGTGCTGTGCGGTACGGCGTTCAAGAACAAGGGCGTGCAGCCGCTGCTGGACGCAGTCATCGACTACCTCCCCTCCCCGCTCGACCTACCGCCCATGAAGGGGTCCGACCCGGAGGACCCCGAGAAGGCCCTCGACCGCCCCCCTAGCGACTCCGCTCCCTTCTCCGGGCTCGCGTTTAAGATCATGACGGACACGTTTGTGGGCTCGCTGACGTTCGTGCGGGTTTACTCGGGCGTGCTGACGGCCGGGACGTACGTGATGAACGCGAATAAGAACCGCAAGGAGCGGATTGGGAGGCTGCTAGAGATGCACGCGAACTCGCGCGAGGATGTTAAGATCGCGCGCACGGGCGACATTATCGCGCTCGCAGGGCTCAAGGATACGATCACGGGCGAAACGTTGTGCGACCCTGACGCGCCGGTTGTCCTGGAGCGCATGGACTTCCCCGACCCAGTCATTAAGGTCGCGATCGAGCCCAAGACCAAGGCGGATGTGGACAAGATGGCGAACGGTCTGATCAAGCTTGCGCAAGAGGACCCGTCGTTCCACTTCTCTCGCGACGAGGAGACGAATCAGACGGTCATTGAGGGGATGGGAGAGCTGCATCTGGAGATTATTGTTGATAGGCTGAAGCGCGAGTTTAAGGTGGACGCGAATGTGGGCGCGCCGCAGGTCAACTACCGCGAGAGTATTGGCCGGCCGGTGGAGGTTAAGTACACGCACAAGAAGCAGTCGGGCGGGCAGGGCCAGTTCGCGGAAGTGGTGATTAAGTTCGAGCCGCTGGAGCCGGGCAGCGGGTACGAGTTTAAGAGCGAGATCAAGGGCGGCACGGTGCCCAAGGAGTATGTGCCGGGCGTGGTGAAGGGACTGGAGGAGTGCATGGGCAGCGGCGTGCTCGCTGGCTTCCCTGTGGTCGACGTGCGCGCCACTCTCATTGGTACGTACATGACAAGGTGGATTTTCTAGCTTCCTTCCCGCTTCCCTCCACACATTCCCCTCCCCCTACCTGCCGCAACCTTCCCCATTTTGCCCCAAACTGCCGCAAGCTGACCCCGTCCGTCATTCACCCACCCCTCCCCCAACCCTCCACCTTCCCACCACCTTCTCACGTAATCCTAATCCCTCCTCCTTTACCCAATCTCTTCCTCCACGCGCTACCCTCCCAGAGGGCTCGTACCACGAGGTGGACTCGAGCGTGCTGGCGTTCCAGCTGGCGGCACGTGGGGCATTCAAGGATGGCATGGGCTCAATCGAAACGCTAAGCCCCCCTTTCCCCCGTCCATGTCCCCCCTCCCTCCCCCCCCCCCCCCCCCTGCTTCTTTTTTCCCAGAGGGTTCGTACCACGAGGTGGACTCGAGTGTGCTGGCGTTCCAGCTTGCGGCACGCGGGGCGTTCAAGGAGGGCATGGGCAAGGCCTCGCCGCGGCTGCTGGAGCCGGTGATGAAGGTGGAGGTGGTCACGCCCGAGGACCACATGGGTGACGTCATCGGTGACCTCAACTCGCGCCGAGGGCAGATCAACTCGTTTGGAGACAAGCCGGGCGGCTATGAAGGTGAGCGGAAGGGCGGAGATGAGAGAGGGCGGAGATGAGAGAGGGCGGAGATGAGAGAGGGCGGAGATGAGAGGAGGGCGGAGATGAGAGAGGGCGGGGATGAGAGAGGGCGGAGATGAGGGAGGGCGGAGATGAGGGAGGGCGGAGATGAGAGAGGGCGGAGATGAGAGAGGGCGAGATGAGAGAGGCGGAGATGAGAGAGGGCGGAGATGAGAGAGGGCGGAGATGAGAGAGGGCGAGATGAAGAGAGGGCGGAGATGAGAGAGGGCGGAGATGAGTAGAGGCGGAGATGAGAGAGGGCGGAGATGAGAGGGCGGAGATGAGAGAGGGCGGAGATGAGAGAGGGCGGAGATGAGAGAGGGCGGAGATGAGAGAGGGCGGAGATGAGAGAGGGCGGAGATGAGAGAGGGCGGAGATGAGAGAGGGGCGGAGATGAGAGAGGGCGGAGATGAGAGAGGGGCGGAGATGAGAGAGGGCGGAGATGAGAGAGGGCGGAGATGAGAGAGGGCGGGAGATGAGAGAGGGCGGAGATGAGAGAGGGCGGAGATGAGAGAGGGCGGAGATGAGAGAGGGCGGAGATGAGAGAGGGCGGAGATGAGAGAGGGCGGAGATGAGAGAGGGCGGAGATGAGAGAGGGCGGAGATGAGAGAGGGCGGAGATGAGAGAGGGCGGAGATGAGAGAGGGCGGAGATGAGAGAGGGCGGAGATGAGAGATGAGAGAGGGCGAGATGAGAGAGGGCGGAGATGAGAGAGGGCGGAGATGAGAGAGGGCGGAGATGAGAGAGGGCGGAGATGAGAGAGGGCGGAGATGAGAGAGGGCGGAGATGAGAGAGGGCGGAGATGAGAGAGGGCGGAGATGAGAGAGGGCGGAGATGAGAGAGGGCGGAGATGAGAGAGGGCGGAGATGAGAGAGGGCGAGATGAGATTGAGAGAGGGCGGAGATGAGAAGAGGGCGGAGATGAGAGAGGGCGGAGATGAGAGAGGGCGGAGATGAGAGGGCGGAGATGAGAGGAGGGCAGGAGGGACGAGTGTGATTGGACAATGATGAAGGTGAAGGGCGGGGGCAAGTGTGCTGGCCTTTGCAAGGGGCGGCGGGCAGGGGGTGGCCTGCAGCAAGGGGCGGGCAAGGGGGTGGCTGAGACTTCAATTTACATGCCTTGGATCTTTGCTGCATGGTGTGACCAAGGGGCGTTGTATTGTGGAGGCAAATTCAACATCTGGCTTTCCCCCACCATTGCTACCCCACTTTCAACCACCAGCAACCAGGTGGTTGATGTGCTGATGCAACTGTCGAACATGTTGAGCAGCTGCATCAGCCCATCCATCACCTCCATGTCTTCCTTTCCCCCCTTCTCTCTCTTCGCACTCTCACTGCTTGGTGGATGCGCTAGTTTGTTTAGAGACGTCTCAAAACAAACTAGTTTGTTATCTGACCGTGACACCTGCCTGCCGGGTCATTTTTGAGTCAACTCAAAAGTCTGACCGGGACACCTGCCGGGTCATCATCTTTCTCTTTTCCCTTGTCTCTCTCTGTTGCCTTCACCATCCCACCAGGTGGTGGATGCGTTGGTGACCCTACCGGAGATTTTCAATTATGGCTTCAACCTGTGCGTGATGACCAAGGGGCACACGTGGTTAACCTCGCATCCTACCCCCGTCCTTCCCCTCTCCCCATCAGGTGGTGGATGCACTGGTGCCCCTAAAGGAGATGTCTAACTATGTTTCGAACCTGCATGGCATGATCCAAGCAGCACGTGTCTTTAACCCCGCATCCTGCCCCATCCTTTCCCCCTCTCCCTGCACCAGGTGGTGGATGCACTGGTGCCCCTATCGGAGATGTTCAACTACGTGTCGAACCTGCGCGGCATGACCAAGGGTCGGGCCAACTACACGATGCAGCTCGCACAATTTGACATCGTGCCCACCAACATCCAGAACCAAATCACCGCCAAGGCTCAGGGCACCGCCGTCTGACTGCTTTCTTGTTGACATCTCCGGCAGCGAACTGAAGTATTGTCCCTGCTTAGTATTGCTATTTTAGATTCTTTTTTATGCAAACCCTTATTGTTCTTCATGCTAAGCAAATTCACAAATCTGGTTCCAATCCAAGTACAGCAAGTGGCTTGCAACATCCAGAACCAAATCACGCCACAGCAAAGGGCACTGCCCTAGTTTAATCCCATTGCTGAGCACTTGGTGTTGCTTTCTTCCCTCAGGGTTCTCTTCTCTTCTCTGTTGGGTGCTGCAGCCAGCCACAGCTGATGCCAACTAAGGTACACTGTACAGACAAGATATATACTGTTAGACCCATGGCCTACTATTTGATGGGCTGTGAAAAGCCCTTAGGATCATTCAAGGCTTAAACTCTCGATAGGAATGTTGTATTGCGGAAGCGCGTCAATGACCAAGTGTTGAACCACCTTGCGCTAGTATGTGAGGGCAAGATGGACTAATTATAGCAAAAGAAGACATGCTTTTTATTACATTACAAGGATTATGAAAAGATGCAATATCCGTTTACTGTTGCTGTTGCGGTCCAATCAGGGCTGTTTTTATCAGGGTAATTACCCTGAATTCAGGGTGATTTCAGGCTTTCCACTTTGTGGAGTCTGACATTTCAGAATAAATGAATTCTCAACCCTGATCCAATCAGAGTAATACATTTTGTATCCCTGATTTGAGTACAATGTAACAGACTAGCCTGTTAGTGGACCCAGACTCAACAGAGTACCAACATCACTCGGATATAAGACAGTATTGAATAAAAGACACGGGTTGTCTATCATACGGGTGTCTCTTATAAACGGGGTAACCTCATTATAAGACACCTATTTGTGTGTAGGGGCAAATGGCAAATGTATAACGAAGAAGTATCTTCTAAACGGATTTTTGTCCATTTATAAGACTGATTTTTTTAATGTATGAGATAAGACATACATGTCTTATATCCGGGCGATGACGGTATCGACTCTGGTCCCGGAATTTGACCTTATCGAGAGAAAGTTTCTTGAAACTTTTCTTCCGATAACCCCTTGGTATCATTCTGGGCGATGTTCGGCAGCTATAGGGGATCGACGGGAGGGCATGGGACGGTGGATGAAAATGTCGGGCCTCCTGGTTCAACCTTGACGAACCAAGCAAAACACTACGGTCACTAGATGAAAAAAACGAAAAACATGCCGGACGTGGGCCAAAAACGCGACGCGAACCCCAACCTAGACCTGTGATCGCGCCGCATCCTCCCCATGAACCCCCCGGAGAAACTTAGAACAAGAATGAATGACTAAGGAATGAAAGTGACACAAATATGAAACCCTAGAATTGTGTACCCCTTAGTATCTAACCCGCTACAGCCTACACAAGCTAGATCATATAAGTTTGACACACACCCATAGGCAAAGTGGGGGAGAACAAGGGGTCACAAGACCAGTCAAGCAAAGCAAGGCAAAGCAAGCTAAAGGTGGATCACAACGTCAACACACATTCTGAGCACAAGTTTAAGGCCACAAGGCCAGTTCAAATGCATGAGTACACACATATATATAACGCTAAACAAGCAAGAGCAGGTATATGTATATGTAACAGTACAAGCAAGGTCAAGAAGTGAGCGAGTGAGGCAAGGTAGGTACAAGACCTAACAGAGTAAAGAAGCGCTGATGGTCACAAGGCGCAAGTGCCCTTGGTGAAGATATCGGCAGTGTTGGCCTTAGAGGCCACGTTAGCAAGACGCAGCTAACCGCACTGCTGCAGCTCACGAGCAAGGAGAGTAGCGAAGAGCGATGTGCTTCATTCTGTGCTCTAGTCTGTGCTCCCGACACAAGGCCAGCATAGCCTTGTTGTCTACGTACAGAACTAGAGGAGAACGAGGCGGCTCTCCGAGGTCAGTCAGCAGGTAGGTGAGCCAGCGTAGCTCCTGTGCAGCCATGGCCCCTGCGTAGATCTTAGCCTCACAACTGGAGCCGAGAACAGAAGACGAGCGGGTAGACCACCACGAAACAGAGCCGGAGCCAAGGCTGAAGGTGTAACCCTGTGACGACCGCCGCGTAGCCTGGTCGTCAGCCCAAGAAGTGTCCTGCGTGACCTGTGAGGACCACTGGACTCCGCCCTCCAAGCACAAGCCCCATGCCCGACGTACTGCACAAGTAGCGCTACACCCTCTTCGCTGCAGCCATGTGCTCTGGTGTGTGTCTCCCAGGAGCAACATAGCGTGCCAGAATGCTAAGAGGCTATGCAAGGTTAGGTCGAGTGCAGGTCATCAGGTACATGAGGCAGCCAACAAGCTCTGGGTACGGGCCACTCGACTCTACGGACTTCATCCGAAGGCAGAGCTGAGAGCGAGTAGCGAGTAGACAGAGGAGTGGCCTGAGGCGAGGAGTACGTGAAGTCGAAGCGCTAAAGGACCCGCTGCACCATGTGTGACTGAGACAGGGTAATGGTGCGCTGTGCTCTATCCCGGGTGATCTACAAGCCAAGGTAGCTGCGCAGTTCACCCAGGTCTGTGCACGTGTGTCTCTTCTGCAGCTCGGACTTCATGTGGGCGAGTCCAGCAGTGTCAGCTGTGGCAAAGACCAAGTCGTCAATGTACACGAGGATATAGAATGGCGGCAAAGAAGTGTTGGTGCGCAGAAACAGCGACGGGTTGGCAGTAGAAGGAGCAAACCCAAGAACCGCAAGTGTAGTCCTCAGTGTGTCGTGCCACTCACGAGGTGCCTCGCGGAGACCGTAGACTGGCCGCCGGAGGCTCCAATGGGTACCAAGGAGGAAAAGACCCAGTGAAGCTAGGTGGGCGGCGCAGCCAGATCTCCTCGTGCAGGTTGACCTACAAGAAAGCAGTGCTGAAGTCAAGAGAGTGAAGCTCGTAGTCACGGTGAGCGGCTATGTGCAGTAGTAACCCGAAGAGTGGTCATCTTCGAGGTGGGAGAGAAGGTCTGAAAGTAGTCAACTCCCTGTCGATGACTGAAGCCACGAGCCACGCAGCGCCCCTTGAAGACAGGCGGAGAAACCCCGCGGCCGCTTCACACTGAAAATCCACATGCCACTGACGATGTTCGCCCTAGGAGGGGGAACCTCGTCGACGTAGGTGCCTCTGGACTTCCAAGAAGCCATCTTTGCATCCATGGCTGCTTGCCACTGAGAGGAGTAGGGACCCTCTATCGCCTCCGCGTAAGAGCGCGGAGTCGGGATGTCTGGTGCATCCGAGTCTCCCTCAGGGGCAAGCAGCATGGACACTAGATGAGGTGAAGCAGCAGCCAAGCACTGGAACTCCTCCTGCCTGTCCTCAATGGACGTCCGTGCCAAGGGCACATTCACCCCCGACGGACGGAGGACAAACAGACTCAGACTGAGCGACAAGACTAGCAGCGTAGTCTAGGCGACAGTGAGCAGCGAAGCCGACAAGCTCAGAAAGTAAGGCAGACGCAGCAGTGGACTCAAAGGAAGGGTCAGTGACGACAGTAGCAAGGAGACACGTGACAGTAGGACTGGCTGCACGAAGGGAGTCCGACTCCGGGTCGGCAAGAACAGGAAGAGAGGACTCAGGAGGAGAAGGCAAAGAGGCCGCAGCGTAGCAGTGGAGGGACGCAAAGACATCTGGTGCGTGCCTACGGACAGGGGGAGGATGCTGACGTGAAACCACGACCTCTAGTGTGAGCAGCACGGACAGGCGATGCATGACGAGACACAGGCTCACGATGCTGAGCAGACCTTCAGTAGGACCAGTGTAGGGAGAAGGAGCAGGCAGAGGAGAGGTAGGCTATAACTGTGACTCGGACAGGACAGGCTGTGGACACTCTAAAGAGAGGAGGCGGACTAGTAGAGGGCGGAAGACCAAGAACCTGCTCAAGGAGCGGAACGAAGTACGGCCGCGGCCGCTAAGCACCACCAGCACCACAAGGGACAGCACGAGCACCCCGAACGACAGCACTAGCGCCAGCAGCACCCCCAGCGCCAACTCCAGTACCCTCAGAGGCACCAGTACCAGAGGCACCCTCAGCGCCAACACCCCCAGTAGCTCCAGCTCCAGCCGGACCACCAGTTACGTAGCGGGTCCAGCTCCAGCACCCTCAGTAGCACCGACGCCCGCAGCACCACCAGCTCAAGTACGAGAACCACTCGCAGGCCCAACAGCTTTAGTATTCCCAGTACGAGCACCTCCGGGACCCGCGGCACAGCACCCTCAACAGCCGCAAAAACCTCCAGCACCCGCAGCTCGCCTCCAGCGCCAGGCAAACCACTCACGCAGCTCCTGTGGAGAGAGTAGCTCCCACCGGGACGAAGCATCCGAAGAACCTCCAGGCCCAGCACCCGCCAGACACCACACGAGCAGGTCCAGTACCCTCAGACTCCGCACCCCAAGACGCAGCACCCCAGGCTCAGCACCCCCAGACGCAGCACCCCCAGGCTCAGCACCCCCAAGCGCAGCACCCCCAGAGTCAGCACCCCAGGCACAGCGCCCCCAGAGTCAGCAACCCAGACCAGCACCCGCAGGCTCAGCACCCCTAGCA